ATTATGGGAGAAGCAGAGAGAGAGAGACGGAGAGAGAGAGAAAGATACTGTGTGAGAGAGAGAGAGAGAAAGGGAATAAGTGAGGGACATTGAGAGAGAATATGTGAATATATGAGAGAAATGTAGTGACTGTGTTTTGAGAGGGAGAGACAGAGACTCAGAGAGAGAGGGACTGAGAGAAATAATGGGTGAGAGAGAGAGAGAGAGAGAGAGAGCAAAACTGCAGGAGAGATAGAGAAAAAGACTGAGATTGAGATATAGAAGTAAAGTGAGAGACTCAGCGACAGCTTCAGAGAGCCTGAGAGATAGAGACTGAGAGGATGAGAGAGAGAGTGAGAGAGACTGTCTGTGTGTGTGTGAGAGAGAGTGAGAGAGACTGCCTGTATGTGTGTGTGAGAGAGAGAGACTGAGCAAAAGAGAGAGACTGTGAGAGATAGTATTTTATAAAGTGTAATGACTGTGTGTATTGTGGGAGAGGCAGAGAGAGAGAGACTGAGAGAGAGAGACATAGAAAGGGACTGAGTGAGAGACCGTTAGAGAGAATATATGAATATCTGAGAGAAGTGTAGTGACCATGTTTTATTGGAGACACAGAGACTCAGAGAGGGGAACTGAGAGACAGAATGGGCGACAGACCCAAGAGATGGAGAGAGTGACATAGAGAGAATGGCTGAGACAGAGAGAGAGACTGTGTGAGAGAGAGGGAGAGAGAGTGTGAAGGAGAAACTGAGAAACAGAGAAAGAAACTGAGAGAAAGAGAGAGAGAGACTGTGATGTGTGTGTGGGCACATGTGTGTGTGTGTGATCCTGGTCCCCGCGCCTTGGGACTTGCTCCCCACGTGAAAGGCTCCTGTATATACATGTCAATGTGTATTGTGTTGCTGCACTATATTCCCTGTGTTTGTGTCCCTGTGTCCAGGTTGGGGGGCAATAATCTGGGAGATTGTGGAGTGAAGCGACTGTGTGAGGCTCTGAGGAACCCGGAGTGTAAAATACAGAGTCTGTGGTAAGTAACGCACTGTGTCTCCAGAGTCTGAATGACTCCAATATCTCAATGTGTTTATTGTGACTGTCTGATCAGTGCGGCTGTATATTGTGATAGGAATCGGTGTGACAGTGTGAGGCCACAAACCATTGTTTACATCAAACTCTCAACATGTATTAATGTGTGTGTGTCTGTGTCCTTTGCAACTATCTATAATAATAATAATAATAATTATTTTTTTGTTGTCTGTATGTGGTCTTTTGTGTTCTTTTTTTTATTATCAAACTCTCAACATGTATTAATGTGTGTCTGTGGAATATTTGCAACTATCTACAACGACTTTAGAATGATCCGGTTCCAGTTTACCAATTGGTTGAGTTCAGTCACTTTATTCAGGACAGAACAGCAGGTAATACACTAATAAATTCCCGAGAGATATCTAACACACCTTTGTTTAAAGACAACTGAATAACTCCAGACAAAACTGTCTTTTTCAAGAAAAACAACTCCTCACATGGTTATATCCATAATATGTTTCAATTTCAATTCTCCCTTTAACCAGAAGGACTTTCCGTGTCCCTGTAAGTCTGCCATTGTTTTTGGGTTCTGCCTTCAGTCACTGAGCTTTGCCGCCTTTGCACTTCTATTTTAGATTCTTAAACCACACTTTAACATTAATCCATGACAACACCGTGTGTATGTATGTCTCTGTGTGTGTGTAAGTGCATGTGTGTGTGTGTACGTATGTGTGTGTGTGTGTCAATGCATTTGCTTTTGTGTGTGTGTGTCTGTTTGCGTGTCTGTGTGTATGTGTGCGTTTGCCTGTGTATGTGGGTCTGTGTGCTTTTGTGAGTGCGTTCCTAAGTGTGTTTGTGTGTTTGTCTGTGTGAGTGATTGTTTGTGTGTGTGTTTGTCTTTGTTTCTGTGTTTGTGTTTGTGCGTGTGTGTTTGAGTATATCTACATATATATATTGTGTGTCTCGATGTGTTTATATGAGTGTCTCTCTGTCTGTGTGTGTGTGTTTCTGCGGGTTTTTTGTCTCTCGGTGTGTATTTGTGTTCGACTGTGTTTGCTTGTGTGACTCTGTGCTTGTGAGTGTGTGTGCGTGTAGGAGCCTTGGGACGTCCGACATGAAAGGCGATATACAACTGTAATCTTGTTGTTGTTGTTGTGTGCGTTTGTGTATGTTCCTGTGAGTGTGTGCGATTGTGTGTGTGTTTGTGTGTTCCTGTGAGTGTGTGCGATTGTGTGTGTGTATCCCAGAGGATCGAGTTCAAGATCGTCGTCCTCACCTTTAAGGCCATCCATGGCCTCGCCCCCTCCTCCCCTCTCTGACCTGCTGACTCCCTACCAACCTGCCCGCTCCCTCCGTCCAGTGGGCTCCGGGCTGCTCCATGTCTCCCGCCCGACCCGCCCTCCCATCGGTGTCCGGGCTTTCAGCCTCTCTGCCCCACACTCTGGGACTCCATCCCACGGTCCCTTCCCCTCACTTCCTCTCTTGTCTCCTTCAAGGTCGGTCTCAAGACCCTTCTCTTCGATCGTGCTTTGGTCTCCCTCCCACCTCTCTGCCTTCCCTCACTCCTACCCTACCCCCCCACCCTCGCCACCCTCCCCACCCCTCCACCCCTCCCACCCCTCCCCCACCCTCCCCACCCCCCCTCCCCCCCACCCTCCCCCACCCTCCCCACCCCTCCCCCATGCTCAGGCCCCGACACCTGACTGTTCAGCGCTTTGGGACGTCCTGCCGACGTGAAAGGCGCTCTGCAAATGCAATTTTATTGATGTTATTGTGTATTTGAGTGTGTGTGAGTGTGTGTGCCCGTCTGCGGGTATGTGCGTGGTTGTGTCTGTGTGCTTCCACATTTGTGTGTTTGGTTGTGTGTATCTGTATTTATGTTTGTGTGTTTTTCTGTGTGTGTGTGTGTGTGGGTGTTTTGTGTGTGTGTATTCGCGTATGTTTGTCTGTGTGAATCTATGTATGTGTTTTTATGTCTGTGTCTGTATTTGATTTTGTGTTTCTTTGTTTGTGTGTTTGTTTTTGAGTGTGTGTCTGTTTGTCTTTATGTATATTTCTATGTGTATGTGTGTGATTGTGTGTTGTGTTTTTGTGTGTGCGTATTTGTGAGTTTGTTTTTGTGTGTCTTTGTTTGTGTGTTTCTGTGTATATTTGTGCGTGTGTTTTCGCGTGTATGGTTATGTATGTTTGTGTATACCTGTATGTGTGTGTGTGTAATTGTGTGCTTTTTTCTCCGTGTGTGTGTGTGTGTTTACGTGTCTGTTTGCGTGTGTTTCTGTGTGTTTGTTTCTGTGTGTTTCTCTGTGTATATGTGTCTGTGTGTCTGTATCTGTGTGTGTGTATTTGTCTGTGTGACATGTGTTTGTTTGTGTGTGTATGTGTGTGCCTGCATGAGTGTGTTTGCGTGTGTTTCTGTGTGTGTGTGTTTACTTGTTTGTGGGTCGTGTGTGTGTGACTGATTGTATTTGTCTGTGGGTCATGTGTTTGTTTATGTGTGTATGTGCATGTATGTGTGTGTGTTTGTGTGCCATTTTGTTTATGTTTGTATGTGTGCTTGTGTGAGTGATTGTGCTTATTTTGCGTGTGTGTGTGTTTGTGTGTGTTGGCGTGTGTTCGATTTTGTGTGTGTGAGTTTGTGAGTGTTTGTGTGAGTTTCTGTGTGTTTTTGTGTATTTCTGTGTGCGCGTGTGAGTTTGTGTGTGTGTATATTTGTGTGTCTGTGTGTATCTATGTATGTCTATTTATATCTGTGTGTTTGTTTGTATGTGCTGTGCTTCTGTTTGTGATTGTGTGTTTTTGAGTGTGTCTTTATGTGCGTTTGTATGTTTGCGGGTGTTTGTGTGTGCGTGTTTGTCAATCTGTTTTCGTGTACGTTTGTTTGTGTGGTTCTGTGTGTGTGTACTTGTGTGTGTTTGTGTGAATGTTTATGTATGTTTGTGTGTGTATGCGTGTTTGTGCGTGCGTGTGTTTTTCTCTGTGTGTGTGTTTGCGTGTGGTTGTGTTTGTGTGCATTGTGTGTGTGTTTGTGTGAATGATTGATTGTTTGTGTGTGTGTTTGTGTTTGCTTGTGTGAGTTTCTGTGTGTGTGTTTGCGTATGTGTTTGCGTGGGTGAGTTTTTGGGTGTGATTGTGTATGTTTCTGTGTGAGCGCGTTTGTGTGAGAGTGTTTGTGTGTTTGTTTGTCTGCGTGAGTGTGTGTATTTATGTGTGTCTGTGTGTTTCTGTGAGTGCGTCTCTCTGTTTATGTGACTCTGTTTGTGAGTGTTTGTGTGTATTTTTCTGTGGGTCATGTGTCTGTGTTTGTGTGTATTTGTGTGTGTGAGTGTAAGTGTGTGTCTGCGGTGATGTTTTTGTCTGTCTTTTGTGTGTGTGTGTGTGTTTTGTGTGTATGAACTCCTGCAACCTGTCCGGCATCAAACAAACTGTGAGTGACAGTGGGTTACACACACTGTGTTTACTCTGATCCCTGTTATGTCTCTGTGTCTCTGATCTCCAGGTTGGACAGTAACAATCTGACAGCGGATTGTACCGAGGATCTGACCTCCGCTCTCAGCACAAACCACTCACTGACGGAGCTGAACCTGAATGATAATAATCTGGGAGATTGTGGAGTGAAGCGACTGTGTGAGGCTCTGAGGAACCCGGAGTGTAAAATACAGAGTCTGTGGTAAGTAACGCACTGTGTCTCCAGAGTCTGAATGACTCCAATATCTCAATGTGTTTATTGTGACTGTCTGATCAGTGCGGCTGAATATTGTGACAGGAATCGGTGTGACAGTGTGAGGCCACAAACCATCGTTTACATCAAACTCTCAACGTTTGTTAATGTATGTCTGTGGGTGTGTGTTTCCTTTGCAACTATCTACAACGACTTTAGAATGACCCGGTTCCAGTTTACCAATTGGTTCAGTTTCAGTCACTTTATTCAGGACAGAACAGCAGGAATACACAAATAAATGAAACAATACAATAATACACAAGACACCAAACCGGTACCGAGCTGATTCCTGTCACAGCACTGGTCGTGTCTCTCACTGCTCCGCTACCGTTCCCGAAGATATCTAACACACCTTTGTTTAAAGATAACTGTATAACTCCAGACAAAACTGTCTTTTTTAAGAAGACAACTCCTAATATGGTTATATCCATAATATGTTTCAATTTCAATTCTCCCTTTAACCACAAGGACTTTCCGTGTCCCTGTAAGTCCTGACCTTATATTGCCATTGTTTTGGGTTCTGCCTTCAGTCACTGAGCTTTGCCGCCTTTGCACTTCTATTTTAGATTCTTAAACCACACTTTAATATTAACCCACGACAACACTGTGTGTATGTCTGTGTGTGTGTGTGTCAGTGTATGCGTTTGTGCATGTGTGTGTTTGTGTATGTGTGTGTATTTGTGTGCGTGTGTGTCAATGCATATGCTTTTTTGTGTGTGTGTGTGTGTGTCTGTTTCAGTGTCTCTGTATGTGTTTGTCTGTATTTTTCTGTGGGTCATGTGTTTGTGTGTATTTGTGTGTGTGAGAGTAAGTGTGTATCTGCGGCGATGTTTTTGTCTGTGTTTGTGTGTGTTGGTGTGAGAGTGTTTGTGTATGAGTGTATGAGAGTGTTTGTGTGTTTGTTTGTCTGCGGGTGTGAGTGTGTATTTATGTGTGTATGTGTGTGTCTCTGTGCGCGTCTCTCTGTTTATGTGATTCTGTATGTGTTTGTCTGTATTTTTCTGTGGGTCATGTGTTTGTGTGTATTTGTGTGTGTGAGAGTAAGTGTGTATCTGCGGCGATGTTTTTGTCTGTGTTTGTGTGTGTTGGTGTGTGTGTGTGTGTTTGTGTGTATGAACTCCTACAACCTGTCCGGCATCAAAAAAACAGTGAGTGACAGTGGGTTATACACTGTGTTTACTCTGATCCCTGTCATGTCTCTGTGTCTCTGATCTCAAGGCTGTACAGTAACAGACTGACCGATGGCTGCACTGATGCTCTGGTCTCCGCTCTCAGTACAAACCGCTCACTGAGGTTCCTGGACCTGAGCTCTAACTCCTTCACAGACGGCTCTGTCTCCGCTCTCCGCCGCCTCATACAGACCTGCACCAGTCTGGAGGACATCTGGTGAGTGTTTGTGTCAGTGTTTAATGTGATAAACACACAGAGAAAGTGCTGCGTATCAGAATGGGAACAGTTTGAAGGGATTTATTTATGTATTAAACTGCGACACGAACAGTTTACAGTTTGTACCATTATCCCGTGGGTTTATTTCCTGTTTAATGTGTTTCAGGCTTTTGGGGAATAGGTTCAGTTCAGAGGGAGCGAAACAGCTGCGGTCACT